AAGGTCTGCCTGTGCTTGCGCTTTTACCGCGGCTTCACTGGACAGCCTCGTACAGCAGTTATCTTGCAGTCCATCATGTACATGACGAACCTCTTCCTTCACTACCTGGCCACTGGCCAGAAGGGACATTTGACACCTGGGTTGAGTTACGAGGTAACACAATTTCTGAGTGCACGCTTCACAATTTGCGGAAATGTGGGCATTGCAGCGTTGCAAGACATAGCGCCGGGAAGCGAGAAAGGTGGCAACTGCTGCAAACGCTCAGTAGATTCCCCAAAAGTTGCATTCAAGTGCAGCAATTAAATTTCAATATATTGTAAATTGCAGTAGCCCCGGGGTTCCCTCGCTCCCTGCTTGCAATAGTTGCAGCGGTATCCACTGCAGCGCCCTGTTTGCCAGGTGGTGTTTATCGTGGTTTGCGGCAACTTTGCGTTGAGCGGCTACATTCTGTTCGGTGAGCAGGTTATTGACTGGTCGACTTTTGGAGGGTCCATCATCACGCTGACTCATGTGCTGCTCGGTGAGTTCGACTATGGTGCCATGAAGCTTGGTTATTCTGCTTGATGTCACGGCAATTACGGTGGGCTCCCCCACAATTGCAAGTGCAAGTGACCCATCGACATCCAAGCGCGACACCCTTTTACATTGTTTGCAGCAAACTTTAAGATGCTTCCCATGTCCCAACAATATGTCGGGGCATCCACCATAGTCCACGCTCCTGACACGAAGCGTGATCCCAGATCACGCAAGGAAGAATGTCGCGCCCGTGCTCGCCATGATCTGGTGGTGGAGCTTCTTTCTCTCCACAACCGTGGTGCTGTCAAAGGCGGGTTGGGGTAGACAGGCAGAAGATACAACCCGATCTGCCTATGCCATGTTTGAGTAGAAGGAATAGAAGGACCCCTCTGTTAACTGCGCACGCTTGCCGTGTTTTCACTTGGCAACACCTGTGGCCTTTTTTCAGGCCAAGTGGAGCGGTTAATGGAGTGGCAAAGTGCTGCGGATGGGGGGCACTTGGGATCTTGCAAGCAATGCGCCTAAATGGCCAGGTACCCTCCAACAATTATGGAAGCTGACAGGGAGGGTTCCGGAAGACTGCTTTCCCTGCCCCCTGTCCACTTCCACCATTGCTAGAAAGAAGGTCCATGGTTCGTTCCTTGCTTGTGAGCCATTTTTGCACGCACAGAGCCGCCAAGTGAAAGGCGACAGCGCGAGCGTGTGGGCTGCCTCGCAGACGGCAAAACACTGCAACCATCATTTAAGTTCCTCTGAAATGTCCTTGGCACCCCGAGAGGCCCCAAGCCTTTCTGCTTGAGCTTGTGGGTGGTCAAAAGTGCTTGAGCTTTTGGGCTCCAAGAGCTTCCTAATTACAAGTTCGGAATCCATCAAAATATGTTGGCGTGGCGCTGCGTTGTGGCGCGTGGCAGGTGCTGACCGCTGCGGTGCTGCAACTGTTCCTGGAGGTGCGACAGGCACTGGGCGAGCCCGGGGTGGGCTTGCCACGGCAGATTTGGGCAGCCAGGCGCTCAGCGAGTAGCAAGAGATGCAAATATGTGCGGAATCCCACTGTCTGACTACCAAAAAGCATCCCTTAGCCATCCCTGAGTCATACCCGTCACCAACCGTGCGGCAACGCGCCTAGCTTTGGGTGGGAAAACCTCACCAAACAAGTAGACGAGCCTCCATGTAGCTCTACGCAGTCTTGATATCTGTGCCCAAGCTGCTCCTGCCTCCCACGTAAGCATTTGACCTCCATATGCGAAAGAAAGGCAGGCCTTAAGTGATGAGCAACTGTGTTGCGTACTCTGCGGCAAGGGGGGCAAGGCAGGCCAGGGGAGCAACCTTCGTGTCTAATCACGGATCCCCTGTACAAAATGAATCTTGACAAGTAGCCGCCAAAAAGTGCCTCTCAGAATCCTGCATCCCGCGTGTACTATATCTTAGGGCTACGAAGGCAAAGCATGCAGGATGCCAACCTCTAATATTGCAACCTCGGCTTTGGATTGCGTAGAGAAACGCAGAGTGGCCCGAACCTTCGCGAAACCCCAAAGTACGCGCAACCCTTATCAGAATCAAGTAAGCCAGCTCCCAAGCAAACATAAAATACAACGCTGAGGTTGCCTCAGCTGTTTAAAACCCGTATGGACCATATCGCTCGACAAGTGCCCGCCCGAGCAACACGAACGACTCTTTAAAATCCAGCGTGCAAGAGCTGCAGACGAGCCCAATCGGCATTCAGGGTAGATAAAACCAAAAGCGTCGGTCTCAAGTACCTTGTGCACATTGCCTGGACATCAGATCAAGCAGCACAGCAAGCCAACACTACCACTGTCAATGCAAAAGCGCCACCCTTCACAGGTGCCCTTTCCCAGGCCTTGCCCAGGATGGGGTGAGGGTGGGTTGGCGGATTTTTGGCAATGCAGCAATGGAGCTGTGCTGAAATACATGGGCACATGCTGGAAGATTGTTGCCAACCCCCAAGCAGCTCTATACAGCCGCCATCAGCCACTACACAAAGGGCATACCATATACCCGTTTTGTTGCTAGGGAGCGTGGTTTGCGGTCAACCAACAAATATGTTAGATAGGCAGAGCAATGAAGGTGAGAGCTTATTGGAAAATGTTTTGACCCAGGTCGTGAAGAACCTCTGGCACCAGCGCTCCTATGAGGGTTCCATGAAGAGCGTGCCAGATGACGACCTCCTCAAGATGCTGGCAGCTGATTTGGACCCAGCCCATGTCAAGAAGCTTATGCAGATGAAGACCGACAGAAGGCTGCGTTCTCGCGAGGACTCACACAAAATATTGGGGAAGGTCGGTCATCAATATTAACGGGCCGGCTTCAAGCTCAGACACTCACACGTGGGGGTTATCAAAATTAGGGGCTCTTTCTGGTATCCCCTTTAAACGGCAGAACAAGGCGGCACCGGGGGTCAAAAAAGGGGGCAATATTTTTGACAACAACCCCCACCCCCCCGGTAGCCCAGCCGTTGCCGTTTTGTGGAAGATTGTGGCACCAGTCACCCGAAGTCTGAAGACCGAGCTGCAGGCAACACTTGGGCAAGGCGGGTCAGATAATGTTGGACCAAACAGACCAAACTTCGCATTCGTGGCAGCGGTGTCCATTGGCTGTTGATTTGACCCATGGCGTTTGCCAGCCGCCTGAGATGCGATTTGCCCGTAGGACCTGGCACGGGCAGAGAAGGACGTCCAGGTAAATGTAGACTTCCTGGTGAAGCGGGGCATGGACCCCATCAGTGCAGAGCGGCTCATTGACCGCACCTCCAAGCAGCTCGGCGAAAGAAAGAGGGGGTTCAACTTGGCCGTCACAATTCTCGCAGGGAGCTGGCGTGAAACTGAGTTCTGCCGGACGATTGTTGTTTTTCTCAAGTAGGGGTTTCCCACTACATATTGTAGATGTAGATTAGGGATCCTTTAACTTTGAACAACCCAGCTGTTCTTTGTCATGTGGACCCCGTATGGCTTTCTGGGCTCAAACTGATTCCAATGGGTCGGGCATCCACCGATGTAGAAAGGGTTGGGTTAGGTGGGCGCTGGGCATCTCGACGACCACCTCGGCCACCAACCGGCTCATGCTTTTGGTCGCCAAGCAGATGGATTACATCACCAAGGAAGCCGACCGCATCCAGAGAAAGGCACCAGAGTGCAAAAACCGGGGAGGGGGGGAGTGGCGGGCATGCGGTCCGTTGTTTCAGGGTTTTGGGTTTACGGCGTTCAAGCAGTGGGGGGCAATTTGCCCTTGAACGGGAGGCGAACCTCTTAGCTCCCAACAGAGGCTCATCCGCTTTGCAGTGGGCAGGTTCGGACCCGCATTGACCGCGCTGCGCAGTCTGCAGACCGTGTGGATGTGAAGCATGCGAAGTGCGCCGCGCTGGCCAAGCGCTTGCGCCGCGCCCAGCAGATCCCGGCAGGCAAGGCTGAAACTTGCAACTTGGAAACGTTGGGTTCTTCAAATTCCTTAATATTCAATTCCTTAATCCCCATTTCATCCTTAATCCTCATTTCAGATGGGAGTAGTTTCCCTTGTTGCGTGGCAAATTTTGAATAACCCAGGAAGCAGAGTATGACTCCCCATTCTGGGTGAAACGTCTCCCGGCTGCCAGTATCTGCAGTTGCTCCATGGAGCATGCTTGTCAGGCTGGACGGCACACCGGGACGAGAATGGCCGACGCTATTTGCGGCACGAGGAGAGTGGCCTCACATCCTGGACGTTGCCCCGGGCGCTGATTTGAGGTCTCACCTTGCTCCGCTCAGCTGCAAGCTGCAAGCAAGCTGGGATGTGCCTAGCCTCCAGGTCTCATGAAACCAATTCGACTGGTTGACTCCTCACCTGCAGGTTGCCGCTTTGGAGCAGAGCATGGCCCTTTCAAAGGGTGGTTTCACAAGGCCGAAGGCCGCTGGTGCTGGCTGCCCGTCGCACGGCGCGGCATGGATTGCTCGAGGGGCAGTGAATGCATTTGTTCTGGAACCTTGCTTGTCATCAGCATAACATTGGCCGCCGTGGCAGCGGGCGGGGATTGGGGGGACTGTGTTTGTTTGTTTGGTTGGTTGGTTGGTTTTACCTGCTGGAATGCCATGGGCCAGCACCTAACTGCTGCAATTTCTTTGCCCTCAAATTGCTTGCCGTTCAAGATGCTGTGTCGTTTCAGCAGTATTTCTGCGCTTGGGCTTTCCAGTTTGACTCGCATTGCACGGGTCGGGCGGCCTTCCACCAAGCATACAGCCCGGCCAATGCCGCACCTGAGCTTCGGTCATATTCCACCTCCAAAGGAGGTAACAAGTCTCGCGGCAGAGTTGGTCTCGGTACAGGGCTCCGGGACTCCGAGGGCGCGCGTTGGACCTGCCGTGATTCACAGTGCTGGGATTTCTGGGGACAAGATGGGATGCTTTGCTTGGCTTGATCGCGGCAATGTAGGAAAGTGTCGCTTGATGAAGATGCGTCTTTGAATCCGATTTGGAACAGCATGTGCCTTTTCCAAGGCCGCATTCGGCACATACGTGTGGTTCCGAGTGAGGCAGGGTGATGGGTGATGGCTTACCCTAGTGAAAAATCTGGGCCCGATGCGCATGAGGCGCAAGAGTGCGCGAGCCGAGCTGGACTTTGATGGGGCTATCTCCTCCAGGCAGGCGTATTAATTGACCGGGTGCATTTTGAACCTCCAAGAGGAATCCTTGGCAACGGTGGTCTTTGATTCTGGCATTCAGATGCATTCAGCGACTTTGAACGAACAAATTCACGGTTTGTGAGTGAGACCTTCCGATGGGCGCTGCACCCAGTGATGCCTGGCCAGCTCAGTTTTGATCCCAACCCAGGCAAATGGGTGCTGATGCTTCGGCGGAATGGAAGTGGCAGAGCCGCTGGGCATCAATCCGCAAAGCTCAATGGAGGTGTTGCATGAAGCCCAAGCGGCCCCAAGTGGCCGGCGTTGCTGTCAGGTGCAGATGCCATTGACGCGGTCATGTGAAGCCATGTGGCCGTTTAACCGTTTGGAGTCCAACAATCCATCGCGCAGAGCAACACAGCAGATGGCTCCGGGTCAACAGGGCTTGTGCTGGAAGGGTAGGCTGAACAATGAAGGATGCGTTCATGTGGGCTTACTATATGCGTCGTTTTCAGGGACGGGATCCGAGGGAGCTTTGATTAGAGCCGGTCGTGTTTCCGAAGGATATGCCACGACACACACACATTCGTATTTTTGGCTGACCGTGGCTGACGCTGAGCAACTTGACGCACAGAGGTGCTGTACGTGTAAATTGTGCACGTTGATGGTGGCGTCGCGTGCTTGGAAGCAATCTTTGCGAGGTTACGTGGTGCGGGTCGTCTTCGCCTTTGACGGAAGACAGATGCAGGGCACGGCGCTGGACCTGCTGGAAAACGACTTAGTGCAGGCGGTCCCAGAAAAGCATTCAGCCATGGTCCTGAAGCTTCCGATTGAGCTTGTTCGTCTCAAAATAGGGGATGACCCCAAAAGGTTGGCTTGTGGCTACCCCTCAGCCAAAGCGGGGCCACTCAATAAAACAAGCAAACGCAAACACAACAAACAAAGAAACACTGAGAGAGAGAGAGAGAGAGTCAGAGACAGAGCCAGAGCCAAAGAAAGTAGACCTCAGACACACAGGAAGCCGCACATACACACAAAAACACAGGCACACAGACACACAGACGCGCAGACGCACAGACACATAGACACCATAGACACCATAGACATCATAGGCACAGACAAAGACACAGAAGCCACAGGCAGGCAGGGGCAGACGAGAAGGCCAGGGGCAGGGGCAGGGGCAAGCAAAGACACAGAGAGACGCACAGAGAGACGCACGCAGAGACACCGAGAGACACACACAGAGAGACAAAGACACAGGCAGGCAGAGGCAGAGGCAGAGACAGAGACAGAGACAGAGACAGAGACAGAGACAGAGACAGAGACAGAGACAGAGACAGACAGACAGACAGACAGACAGAGAGACAGCGAAACAGAGAGACAGAGAGACAGAGAGACAGAGAGACAGAGAGACAGAGAGACAGACAGACAGAAAGACAGACAGACAGACAGACACAAACAGACACAAACAGACACAAACAGACACAGACGTACATACAGACGGACGTACATACAGACAGACGTACAAAGAGACAGAGAGACATACAGACAGACATGCATACATACATCTTCACGCGAGCCAGTGCATGCGCTTGCGTGCACCCGCGCACGAACGCACCCACACCCCCACCCGCCCCCACCCACCCCCACCCACCCCCACCCACACCCACCCACACCCACACCCACCCACACCCACCCACACCCACCCACACCCACCCACGGTCGTATGTTAGAGCACTTTGCTTCCAACTTTGGAGCTTTGTTTCTGTTGATTTGTCCAGGTGGAGGCGGAGGTGGACGATGCCTGGCTTTACGGACACACCGCACGGGATCCGGACCTCGTTGGCTTTGTTCCCAAGAACTGCGTAGAGCGCCTAGGCCCCCAGCTGAGAGGGGGCATGGGGTTTGGCGCCACAAGCTAACGCATTGCACGTGCCGAGCGCAGACTTTGCAGCATGCCTGCTCCTAGTAGGCCAGGAATTTTGAGAGTGATTCGGTATGGGGGGGGGGGCGGCAAAATGACGACTAACAATTGCCGCTATCGTCGCTATTAGAAGCACGCAATTTGGCCTTTGCTTGTTGAATGCGACTTTGTTCCACACAAATCTCATTCCGTGGCTCCAAAGCCAGGCACCGGAGCAGGGGCCGCTGCACCGCAGCCGCCAGCGCCTATTTCTCCCTTCGCCCCGCCAACACGAGGGCTGCTGGTGAGGTTCACAGACGAGGCCAGAATCAGGATGAAGATTGTTCGAACAGTCCATAGCATTGCATGGGTCTATCCTAGGCCAAAATCTGCGCGCGTCCTCTCTGTGGTACTGGCTTGTTTTTGATATGAGCTAATTTGGTAGGCTTCCGGAGGCGGAATCAGACCCTTGGAAGTCCCAAGGGTCGAGCTGACAGGCTATAGAGTTGTCAAGCAGCGGCGGAGGTTGACTGGTACCGGCGGACCCCTTGCATGCACAAGCCCCGGATTCACAGGGCTTGGCGCACAAACCATCAGCCGAGCCCAGCAGCTCAAAAAGGGCGGCCCCTATATTGCCCATCCTTTCATTTTGTTCATGTTGCTGTTTCAACGCCTCTTTCATCGACCCACTGTACTCGGTGCATGTTGTTCTATGCCTTTCTCTGTGTGTCAGACTTGCGCAGCTTGTTCTGTTTGAGTTGCACCGGCGGTTTGCCAAACTCGATTGGGCTGAAGCCTGCGCCTGCCCAGTCCGAGCAAGAGATGACCATGGAGGTGTTTGCAGCCAGCCGAGGCCAGGAGTAGTCAGTTTTCTGTGCTCCAGACTTGTGTTGCAGGCTGGCTATATGGCTGCCGGCCTGGTGGCTCACCCGGCTGGTTCGCAGAGAACGCCCTGTCCAAGCACGACCTAAAGGACCCGCCATCGGTGAGCAAATCCTATCAGACCAGATTTGAGTAATAATCCCTGCAGCGGGTGATCGACCACGCAAGAGCCCAGCAACACCTAAATGAGTTGCGCAGAACTTCTACCACCGGACCAGGGTGCGATCGTAAGCGATCCTACTGCAGGGTAAATGCAGGGGACGGCGCTCTCCTTTGGCACTTGGAACCTGCGGTGTGAGTGATGCAAAAATGAGAGGGAGAAGCGGGTTCTGCACTGGGGCTGCACAGATGCAATTGTCCGCGGCTCTTTGATCAGTTTTGCCTGCCGAACATTGGATCAGATTTTGGAGTGCAGGTGATCTAAAAGTTGTGTGCGCAAGCGGCTTCCCCTTTAAAAGAACAAATCCTGGAGCCTCCACTTCGGGATCACCCAAATCTCACGGGCCATAGAGAAGTTAGGCGCCCGTTTTGTCACGCGGGCGCCTGCTGCTTGCAGGCCTTGCGGCCACCGTCAGGCCCGCGGCTCGCCGCCGCTGGCACGATGGGACTTGAAGAAGGCAAGTGGCTTCGCGGCGATCGACGCCAAAAATGGCCGCCCCATTTTGGTTTCAGCGAAAAGTTCGGGCGATAGAGAAAATCGGCTCAAGTCACAACATCATGTGGCAAATGAATGCTTTTTTCTCCTATATGGACAAGTTGGGAACTTGCTTTGCCTCCTGCTTCGGAGAGAAGGCATGTGTCTTGGTGCTTGCAGATGTTTAGGTAGCTTGTTGACACCTGCCTATTTCAGGTTTCTTGCGCGAGGATCTGCGCAGTGGCGCCAGGTTCAAGTGACAAACGATCGCACGACTGGAGCCAGGGCTCGCGCCAAGCTCGCGGCTCGCACGTCAGCGTTTGATTCCCCAGGCGCGCCAAACTGCCCAGAGGCGCGCCCAGCGCTGGCCCGAAGGTGCGGCCGGTGGGGAAGGGATCCAAGACCCATAATTAATACATATATATAGATATATACATATATATTCATATATACGGGATACGGCGAGAGAGAGAGAGAGAGAGAGACAGAGAAAGAGAGAGAGAGAGAGAGAGAGAGACAGAAATAGAAACATGTGTGGGTCTCTTGCAGCCGCACCATTTGCCAGGAGTTTGACCCGGCAATTGACAGATGCCATCACGTCCACGTTCTGCACGGGCTCGTTTCCGGTGTCCTAGCCCGACATCCCGACAACCATCCCTTCACGACTGGAATCGAGCGCACTTGAGAAACGGGCAATGACTGTCCCTAGTCCCCACCGAGCGTTTGCATCTTACCGACAGGGTAGCAGGGAGGTGGCTACATTTTGCTCAGACAAGCCAAGCCTTTGAAATAAGTTGTTTGCCACCTCCCCGCACAAGTGTTTTTCTGCTTCTGGTTTTTTGAGTGCGGGTTCAGCAACTGGCTGGCTGGCTGCATGGACCAATTGTTGTACTTGCACACTCATTCAGTTGATTTGTTGCTGCAAGCCGCATCTGAAACAGCGGAAGTCCAGATTTGAGGGCCGTGATCGTCAAGACGTGACACAGCCCTGCTTCTTGTGTCCACTTACTCGAAGAGTCAGCGGAGCTGGGGCCATGTACAGGCATCGATTTCCAGGGAGCAGAAATGATCCAAGGATCTCAGCCGCTGGTTTGGCGAGTGCCGCGCAGACGAGACTCGACTCGGGTCGGGGGCAAGGCGCGTTTATGGCTCAAGCGATAGCCCGGCACCATGGGCCAGACTTGCTGCCAGGCACGGTACTTCGCGGGCGAAGACACCGGGCCCAAAAGCTCTTGAAGGTGCCCTCTTTGGGTTGGTTCATTTGGAAACCAAAAGGGAAACCACCTTTTTGGGGGTCCCGATTTTGACTAACATCCACATTTTTGGGGTTCCCCAAGCTACTTTTGGGGTGGTTCTGCACCATGCAGAGGATGTTTTCGCGGGTGTCACTACAACGGACTCACGCCAGGGTGAAAATGGATGGCACACGTCCCTTTCTGTTGGTAAGGGGGTGATGCAACCATAGGGGAATTGTACCTGCTCTCAGTCAATAAGAAGGAAGTGGGCGCAACTTGCAGCTCTGTCATGCTGCCCAATGACTTGCAGATGTTGTCCCAGCCGCCATGGCAGGAAAGCCATGATGAGGCCACCGTGGCAACATTGACGGCCGGCAAGGTGGGCTGAGGAGTCATGCAATGGCAGCAACACTGGTTGATTTTGTAAGGATGTTGCATTCACAAGCGACGATGAACATTGCCTTCGGATTCAAGGAATCCCCCCAAGGAAAAGCCCTTTACAGGGCGATGTGCGATTCACAGGTTGGCTACGAGCCTGCCTTGGACCTCCAGAACAAGGACTTGGGTCTTAAGTACACTTCCACAAGCAACACAGTTTTCCCATTGACTGTACGCTTGGCTTGGGAGGAGGATGTATGCGACAATGCGGCCGAAGATGCGAAGGTAGAGCAGCGGGTTGTTTTCAGCCTCTGAATCACAGTGCCGAGGCAAAGCCCGAGAGGTTCGACTGAAGATGTTGCTTAGTGACAGGCCCCCCAGAACACGGCGGCGATCATTGCGCAAGCCACGGAGGCATTTTGACTGGCAGCACATTCGCACCATTCAATTCCAAAATTCCAAGTCAGCCCTAGCCTGAGTGCGCGTCAGGTAGTTGAAGGACACATGCGGGATTTCGACTTGGAGTCTTGGCTTGCAAGGTGTATGGAACAAGTCCGGCGCACGAGTTGATTCCGTGGATAACGGGAGGTGCTCATGCTGTCCACGAATAGTCTGAGCCTCCCTGAAACAAGCAGGTTTGGGAGAGCACAAATTGTTATGAGGGGCGACCCTGTTGGAGCCCCTGGTGGTCACGTTCAGCTTCGGCTCCAAGCAATAGGCGTGCCCCTTTCCCCTTCCGGAATCAGACATGGTTCAAGAAAGAAACCAACCATCGCTATCGCTTTTCAGAATTCTGCAGCCAGTGTCTCGGTGTACTGTTTTGCTATTGGCTTCGTGTTGGTTTCTAACATTGTGTTTGAGGGCTCCCCCATTCAGAACTTAGGGGCTGGTCTGGCTCATTTCTTGAAGAATGTTGCTTTACTCTCCGGGCGGCAGGGACCTTTTGTATGGGGAAGGCGGGCAGTTGACCCCCTGCTTTCTACAGGACGCCTTTGGAACAATCCTTCCAGGTAGGTGTTTTTCCGGAAGTGTTTTCTGGAAAGACTCGAATGGGGAAGTCCCCCTCGTCGAGGACGCCGCAGATGCGGCCATGGGCCAAGCGCTGGAAGAGCTGGATGCTGCAGCTGACCTTCTCAAGGCCACGGATACCTACCGCAGCATGGCCGCAGAGATGGGGGCCTACCGCTGGCACCAGTCAGCCGTTACTTGATTGCGGCCGCACTTCTCCGCCCTGTGACCCTCCTTAAGAAGAACGGTGCAACAAAAAGGACTCTCGGTCCCAAACTAGCGCTCGGGTAGCATTCAGTGTTGACCTGCGTCCTCGGCCGGGAATACGGCATCAGGGGGAATGCAGGGTCAGGGAATATGCCGTCGGAACGCGGCGTCAGCCGGGAATGCGGTTGCGGTGCAGCCCGCTGTGCTGCCAGTTCCGCACGAGCCGCTTCCGGCACCCGAGCGTGCCACCTGCGCCCAGCTCCCTTGCGTGCACGCCGTGCCAACTGTAACAGGCCAGCCATCCGGGTGCGGGTTAAATAGAGGATCTTGTACTTTGCTCATCTTCTCAAAAAGAGGAGGACGCCAAAGATGAGGCTGAGCAGCACGGTCCGACATTTTTCATTCGAGAATATTGCGGAAAGTAAGACACGCGCATTAGCCGCACTCTCGGCAAGGAACTGAGATTGCTGGGGGTTGCCAATGCTGATCTCGACCTGAGGAAGATTGCAGCAGAACCTGGGCCACTACGAACGTGCGAAGGACCGGCTCAAGGTTGCAGGATGAGCTGCTGATGCTTCAAAGATATGTGCCTCCCCCTCGCAGCAGATCAGATTTCTCTGCTTAAAGAACGCATCGTGCATCATGCACTATGTTCGCCTTTCAGAGTACCTTTGGGTGGGATGTGCCAAAATAGTGGGGACCCCTCTTACCGCTCCTTACACAAACCTGGGTCACTCGGATTTCTGAACAGCCCCAGGAGCTTCTGTTAGCCGATGGCTTTGAACTCCTCTGGCAGCAGGAGCGCTGGCCGACGGGTTTCTGCAAATGCGGGTCCGGATTGTTCTGCTTTGGTCAAAACAACCCGCAAGGGTAAGCCACCCCGTGCCGCGTGTAGGACAAAGCTCGGATGGAAGTGAAAAGGGATCCGAGCTGCCGTGTCTTCGAGTACCGCTTGGCAACTTGGCAACTTCAGGGAGCACATGGCAGAACTCCCACGGGGTGTGAACTGGTCTCAGAGGTGCCCGGAAAAGTGAAGGATCATGAAGGATCCCATCTACGGGACGCCCCTGATTAATCACCAGGGATGGATTCATCCTGCGGGAAGAACTCCACTACGCCACGAGACACAAGCCGCGAAGGTCATCGAGCTTGACCAGCCGCTGCACAAGGCTATGGCCGCCTTTGAGGAGGTGGACTTGGTTCATCAGGCGAGGGTCTCGCAGTGGTTGGACATCCAGAGCAGGAATGCCGTATCTGGCCAAGGGAGTGCGCAAGCTCAAACCAGACCATCTTTAATTAACACACACACACACACATGCGAGGGTTGAAGGCTGAAGTAAGCTGAAGCATTGGAGCCCAAAGATCCAGAAGCCAGGAGTTCAGTGGTTGTTGGTAGGTTCAGAAGCAGCTGACACAGCCGGTGCGGTCCTTCGGGGCATGCACACCCTGGTGGAAGGCTGGATCAGATTAGAGAGGGCGGGCAAGGTGTAACTGGGTCTCAAGTGAGCATGTTGCCACAATATGTCCCTTTAAACCACCGTTTAGATCCAGGTGGAGCGTAGTTAAGTATAGTTAACTTTGAGGATGGACTCTGTAGGCTTTGATGAGCTGCTTCAACGTCGGCTTTCTCAAAGTGGAGATGGTTTACGCGCCTTGGTTTGGCTATTTTGAGAAGCCTCACAGCGAGAAGGTCTGGAGTGATCCTCACCCGCCCAGGAGTTATTCAGATACAGAGGGAGGAAGGACGGCTTCATCATTGAAGGTGTCCATACAGAGTTTGATCACTCAGCTGCTGGCGTGCCTCGGCACTGAGCAGTCAATATGACCCCTCCACATCTGCATGCTCGCCTTAGTCAGTGCACTGTAAAGGCTCCGCGTTTCAGCAGGGCTCCAGGGCTGCAGGCCAGGGCTCCAGGGCTCCATGTCCTTTGGGCTTTGACTTTTGGACCGCCGGACGTCAGCGAAGCGAGCGTTGGCCTTATCGCGAGGTCCCAGCGGCGTCTTGGCGTACGCTTCGCCCGTGGGCATTGTCCGCGAATTTGTGGAAGCCTGCGCAGGCCGGAGGTGAAATTCGGGGCAAACAAACATGCAGTGGCAACTGCAGACTGCAGCCTGGCAGTCAACCAATTTGGGCTTTTTAAGTGGGAACGGCCCGTTTCATGTGCTTGCTCAAGCTCATGCCGCGTCCAGATTCAAGTTGAAGGCTGACGCTTCTTGCGCAAATTCTAGTCAGCTTGGCTTTCCTTCTTTGTTTGGAGAGTATGGGGCTACAAAGTCCAGTATGGGGCTGTCCTGAGTCATTTAATCAGAGCGCTGACATGAGGACGATTCGGAAGCGACGACCTTCGTCCACGTGTCACGCAGCTTGGCCTTGCCAAAAAAAGCAAGCTGGGACCTCTCCCCTTAATTACCCCTTTCTCGGAGTTCTAAGGGAAACCACACGGAAGTGGGCCATTTTGAGGCTTCTTAGCGACACTCCATGTTCGAAGTTTCGCCAACTGCCGCGCCGCATGACTGTGTGATGCGGGCGCTTGCCTGCGAGGAGCAGAGACGGGTTATACTTTGCCCCAATGGGTGCCTTGGCTTAATGGACTCAACGCGCAAGCTTCATTTGTATATGAATTTTCATCTGGAACCTCCCAACTTGGTTGGTGGACAGAACCCCTTCCATGTAAACGATGTCCATCAAAGGTCCCAATTCACCCGTGTCCGAGGTTGGAATCACCCGTCTCCTTGTTGGGTCAGTTTGGTTAAACGTGGTGCCGTTGTCAGTTCTCATTTGCCAGTGCCATCTATTTTCCTAAAAGGACACCAGGTTTGTCATCCATGCAGGTGTTAGATATGGCAGCCTACTTTGTGGCACGCGGCTTTGCCGCCGACGTGCAGAAGTCGGCGCGGAGATGCGGTGCATAGCCAGTCACAGACGGTAGCGGGGGGGGGGGCCTCGCGGTTGAAGTGGTGGGCAGTGTGGCCAGTCTGGATTGACGTGGCAGAAATGGCCCGCGGGCGCTCGTGTGAAATCGTTGGCAGGCCTCGGAAGCCAGCAAACCTGGCAGCGCCTGGATGGATCGCGCGCGGCAAGACAAGGAGTCGCCGTTGTTGGTGAGCCAATATGTCCAGCTCCAGTTTGCCAGGATGGCTTCTATCATGAGCTTCAACTCCTTGAGCAGGCTCGAAGAAGAAGCGGCCCATGGGATGACAGCACCTTGGCATTGTGCTTGGTCTCCAGCTATCACGTGGCTCTCACCAAAAGCCTTGAGAGACTCTGCTTCACTCAGGAAGAACATGGATTGGGGTCCGGGTCACTCTTCGCGGGGGCTTCGATCGCTTGCGTACGTGGTTCTATTGCCTGACCCGGTTGAAGAGGAGAGGGTTTATAGAAAGGCCTTTGTATAAACCATTGCAGATATGTTGGTTCACCACGCTCAATGGGCTTTGGGCTCCTGCATGATGTTTTCGTTTGTGCTTGTCAATAGAGACTGAGGCATGCTGGACCGATGTTGGCATCTGCCTGCCGAGCGGCAGAACCACACCCCGCCATCTCTCAGAGGCAATTGAGCAAGTGCAATCTACAGTACGATGCAATCCGGAATCCGAACTCATAGCCTTGGGGAGTTCAAACACGTAGATCTGGCTATGAACGCCCGAAAAGTGTTTGGACAAGAATCCTCATATATCCTCATGATGTCTACAGAGCCATGCTTCACCCATCGCGCCTTGGTTTTAGCGAAAAGGACCCTCGCTATGCGCAGGGGGGGATGAACCATCTTTCTATCTCCCCATCTTATTTTGGAGTAGGCCGGCCGACGCGTCGGTTTGCGGCCTTCCTTCCCGAGTCCACCTGGCAAGTGCGAGCAGTGCAGCCTCCAAACGGAACTCGGGTGGGCTCTGATTTAGCTATTGCTTTCGGACACGTGTTGCCCAGCTTCTTGGGCAGCGTGGTTGCTGTCAGTTGCTTTGATTTCAAAGCTGAATTCACTGGCCATCCTGCCAATGCTGAACGGCTGAGCCATTCACTTTGCATTACTTTCAGAAGTAAGGATGCCAGGAGCACGCACTCCGACATGTCTACTTTGAAAGGGCAGTCGACCTGTGCGCCAAGCTTGATGCAAACAAGCACATCGCACATACATCATCAAGCTACCGATTTTGTTGTAAACGCTTCACGTTGCCTGCCTCGGCCGGTCCGCTGTTGGCTGGCTTCAAGGTATATGCTTTAGTTTGCCTTGAAGTCTTGTGTTTGCGCGAGCTGGTTTCCAAGGTAGAGGGTGGGTGCATGTCTGCTTCAAGGGCCAGAACGAGAGCTGCACAGAGCTACAGAATGGCAGTGAGTTTGGGCCAAGCGAAGGTGAATTTGACATCGGTCCTGTTTTTAAAGGCGGAGTTGTACTGGCTGAGACCCTTTCTGACTGCTTCCCGGCCCTGGACCAGGCACGCTTCAGGCGGACTGGAGGCAGCTGCAGCAGGGATTTTGTCTGTGCGCCATGGGAGGGTCGGACGGACCAATTTCAGATCCGAAAAAGTGCTGACCGCTTCAGGGCCCTCGGCGCCGAGGCGAATTTGGGGTTACCATCATGAAGGGCCTGGGTGGCTTAGGGGGTGTTTGCTCTCGCTTGGCGCGTGGCGAGGTGTGACTTCTTTGAACCCTCGCCGACATTTTGCAGCCTTGGTTCACCTTCAGTCTCTCAGGTGGCCCTCCTTGGGCGATGGCCAGAAGCACCATCAGTGTTGCGCGCTTCTTGCAGGGTACCTTTGGTAGGGGTTAAATGGACACCGCAATCAATATCACCCTATTCTGACATACACCCACATCTGTGACTTGTTGTCCGCTTCTCGTTTGTGCTGACAAGTTGCTCGCCCTGTCTGAGACGCGGAAGTTGCCTGGATGCTTTCTGTATACAATTCTGAGAGGTGTGAGGTTCGGTCAAAAAATCCTGTAGCCTCCGGTTTCGGGAGGACTCGCCAAATTTCCACAGTGGACCCACTGATTCTCCCGTGTCGGGAAACGTTCGCAATTTTGACCGTGGCTCATGTGGTGATTTTCCTTGTCCAATGCCGTGGATCTTTTGAGAGCCATACATGGCCAGCTGTTGGCCCGTCGGGCCAGGGTGAGTGCCATTCGCCCGTGTGAATCTCCCAAGCCGTCGCCGAAGTGATGAGCTTGGCCATAAACTATGATAAAGATTGACATTGATCGGCGAGAAATGCCTGAGCTCAAAGTCAAACGGTATAGCCGGGTGTGCTTTTGGATGTACTTGAATGCTAGTGCAGCCGTTGGGCCGTTACCAACCTCAATTTCTGCCAGCAGCCAGGTCATTCCAGCAACAATTCCGCAACTCCAAGCAATAGTCAACAACTCAAGGATTCAACCCCTGAATTGGCTGTTTGCTTGCATGCGGGGCCTCAAAGCCATGTGCCGCCATGCGGGGGCGCAAAACTGAGTCATGCATGCATCAGCTAAAGTGCATTAAATGCAACGCATGTACGCGAGGCTGCGACATGGGCAATCTGCTCAGGGGCCCTTCGAAATTGCCAGGCGCTGCTTTCTGTGTCCGCCGCGCACCTTGGGCCGGTCAGACGAGTTCCGGTGTTCATGCTTCTTTTCTGTTGGGGGCGGGGAGCTACTCAGCCAGGTGGTGTCACGAAGAGTGCAGCCCCGAGGCTGGGCAAGACCGGTCAACCACAGAAGAAGGGTGAGCCCCTGGTTGATTGGTAGGGCCTTTCACCGAGTGCATCCTTCAGTGTTTGGGGGCGCCTTATTGGCCCACGGAGTTCATTAAGCAGGGGTCGACATTACCAGGGTGACAAGACTTCGCGAGGCAGTCGGAGGTCGAGCCCCCAGGATGTTGTGCGCAGCTGTCGCGTGTGCGTGGGATGGGTGCTGGACCCTTGTGAACTGCAAGGTTGAAAAGCTTTTGGCCCAGGGAGTTTGCGCAAGCTCCAGCCGCGCCCAAGTCCCAAAGCCACCGGCCTCACCCCGCCATGTGGTCAGCAAGCCAAAGCAGCCCAAAGCAGGAGTCCATGATGCCGCTGGCAGCCCCCTGGCATAGACAAGGGATTTTGCATGCTTGTTGACAGGTCCCGCTGAACTATATCGATTCCCCTCGCATGTTAAAAAGGATATTATTGTATTTCTCGGAAGTTCCGCTTCGCCTGAGATGCTCCAATTGATCCAGACCAGGCACGAATTACAACCGCGCAAGGTTGGCCGCGAGCTGCAGCCGAAGCTTCATAGCAGCTTGGCAAGAGTAAACATGGCGGGAGTTTATTGCATTCGTTCATTTGGGCAGCCGACGCATTGACTCGCAGTGATGCAGGCGGCATGGCTGTTTGGTCTAACGCGCCGGCCCCCAACAGCAAGTACAACATCACTGGCGGTGCCCCTTGGCAAGAGCACCAAGTCTTGCAAAACCTGGAGAGAAGGCATTCGGGATTTGTTAGTAGTAAGACTGCAAGCAGCTTCAATCAAAACAGACAACGCTAATCAATTCTGCGTAGCTGAGTGAACGCTTTTGCTTGCCAAAGCGCGAACCCCTCACGTTTGATGCTGCGCAGCGTTGAGGCAGGCGCCTGGGCAGGGCTGCAAGGGACTCATTGCGGGCTGATGCACCCCTGCTACGTAAATGAAGCAACCCGAGAAGCGTACCTTCAGAAAAGAGCACACCCAGATGTGCCTTTGCAACCAGAAATGCGATCTAGAGAACGTGTTCAACATTTGGATCCAGTTGCAGGCATTCTTCGGCGGCCTCATGCAGGCAATTGAACGTGCTCAATAAAACCCAAGAAGCTCAGGCCAGAGGAATTTGCCGCAAACATATTTTAGGGTTTTTGCCTACCAACGCCTTTTGCTGTTGCTTTTGGGTTCTGGGGGCAGAAAAGCAGATCCCGCACCATCAAGCTGAGAGCATCTGCCCTCAGATTGGGAAACTCCAACGAACAAGTATGAATTATACTGTATAATTGCTATAATTGCTCAACTTGTGCGTATAAAGTTTGAAGAGGGACAGGGCTACCCATCGCACCGCAAGAGGATCACCCACTCTGAGGAGTACTCCCAAGTCTTGGAGTTAGATGTGCACCCGGGCGAGTCCATCACTTGTGAGCCAGGCGACTCGAGACTTGCCGGGAAGCGCCCTTCAAATTCACTTTCCGAGTCAGACCCCTTGGTTGTTCATTGGTTTTGTTCGGTGAAACGCGCAACGTGAATTTGGAAGTGCCGGGCGCAGGCAGCATGGCATATATGACTCCGGACTTGGCGCCGGATGTGGATGTGCCTTGACTGTCAGCAGAGAGCCTCAGCCAATAAATGCGAATCATAGGCAACCACGACAGCTACATAGCAGCTGTCGCGCAGAACCCTGAGATGGAGCTTTCCGATCTCAGATGCTGCGGGCGTTGAGCCCCGGAAAACGATAGGGCAAATCATGTAAGAGGATTCAGACCTTTTCAAGGCCACCGCCAATGGAATTTTCCAGCCGAAAGTCAGCCTTCCCCCTGAGGTGGGCGGCTGTGACCAAGGCCTGAAGCGCTGCTGCTGCGCGGGCGAGTCCCTTTTCAGGCAGGCGTATTTGACTTTGTCAGAAATTCGGGTGTTGGATCATCGGAAGGTATCGCTCGGCTCAAGCTCTCACAGTGGATGTCGACATGTTGATTGGCAAGATGGCCCAAACATGAAACCATGATGCACTTGAACCGCTTGAACGCTGTCGTTAAGCGCATTTCGCATGCTTCCCGAATGGACCTGCGCTTGCAGCTGCTGGGCCTACATGGCGGCAGCGTTACGGTAACTGCCACAGAATGCACGCGAGGCGACGAGCTGTTGGAGATGGCACATGGTTTGCTTCCATCGAAGCAGGGGGCTTCCCTTCAGCTGCTGTGTGGCGACCGGAAGGTTTCGATGGACAAAACGCTTAAGGAGCAGGGCCTCGTTGACCAGGTGTTGTCCTACGTATACATTGCGACAGACGTGTGCCAACCTCAGACCCGAGACCCTAAAGTGCTTTCCAAGCTGAGCTTGCACTTTAAAAGGGGAGAGGCCTGCGTGAGAAAATGCACGGGGAGAAAACGAAGACGGCACTTGACAGCGAAGCCTCCTGATTTTGTCGGCTCGAGATGAAGCCCAGAAGAAGGCTAGAAAAAAACAATGAAGCCTCTTTGCACGAGAGTCTGGTTTTGACTACTGGCTCAGAGGAGCAATCATGAAAGTTGAGAAGTTTGTAGAGGGGAACAGAAGACCCTAGCTGGCAAGTCGTGTTGGCATCAAGAAAATACAACATACAAGGCTTGCAAAGAACAAGCAGCCAACAGTGACACTAACCTGTGAGCCGGGTTGATGTCACACATGGGGGATAAGGCATGCACATCAGAAAGGTGTGTAGAGAGCATGCGAGGAGTTTGGCGGCTAAGCTTTTGGCAAACCAATAGCCAAGCCATGTGGCACAGCCAACAATGTTGCCACTGAATCATGTGACCACCCCCCATTCCCTGCGAACGAGTCCTGCAGATTTGCATAGAGACTGAAAGGGCTTTCAGAGAGATGCTGGCAGAGGTGGCAAGCCTGGCTGGTGCTGAGTGGAGTCTGCGACGATGCCGTTTGCCTGCGGGGGCTGCGAGAAGTGCGATGTGGAGATCTTCCTGAGAAGCTGCCGAGAAGCCTCCAGGCACTGTCTTTAGGCGAGGATTTCAACCGAAGCCTCGGCAACTTGGACCTGCCCAATCTCCAGAGCCTGGTTCTTGGGCGCAGGTTCAACCAGTGCCTAAGCCTTTCCCACTTTCCTGCGCTTCAAAGTCTGACCTTGGGACGTGAGTTCAACCAAACCTTGGCAGGCGTGGAGTTTCCAACAAACCTTCGAAGCCTGACCTTGGGCAGTAGGTTTAACCAGAGCCTGGAAGATGTTGTTTTCCCCAGCGGCCTTGAGAGTCTGTGCTTTGGCTGGAAGTTCAACCGAAGCCTGGACCATGTGAACTTGCCTGCTGGGTTGAAGAGCCTGATCTTTGGCTTCAACTTCAACTTGAGCTTGGAGCGTGTGAGTTTGCCCAGCTCGCTTGAGACCTTGAGCTTTGGTCACCGCTTCAACCACTCCCTTGGAATTCTGCCGGACCTCCGGAAGCTGGGCTTGGGGGGCCAGTTCAGCCACACCTTGGACCTGCCTTTGAGCCTTCAAAGCTTGACCTTGGCGGACAAACTCGGCAGCATGGAAAACCTAAAGCTGCCTGAGGCCTTGCAGAGTCTGAGCTTTGGGCTTTGGTTCAACCAGCACCTCCAGGTGCCACAGAGGGTTCTCTACCCCCTTTTTTCCTTTTTTGCGTTCCCCATGAATGTCGGCCCTTGATGAATAGACCCGCTTTTTTTCCTTTCTTCTCCCCCTCCATCAAGAATTGGAGAGTTATAAAGCAGGGCCGACATGAAGCTTGGAATCCACCCCAAAGGAAATGGGTGTGTGCTTCAGGGGAATCCCCCCAACAGGTGATTTTCCTTTTGGTTTCGGGAACCCTCAGAACAAAGATCCACCATGGCTTGAATGGACCACGGACTGGGCCACCAGGCGGTGCGCTTGCCCCGCGCCTTGACGGCCCTTGCCTTTGGCAACGCCTTCAATCAGCCCTTGGACCTTCAGGCCCTCTTTTTAAACCTGTTTCATCTACACGTCCACCTCCATGTGTGAACTTGGTCCAAATTTGATATCTCTTGTTGAAGCAACTCTTGTTTAGGCAGCTCTTTTTCAGCAAGTCGTGGCTCAACAACTATGACTATTGTTTGTGCACCAGCCGTGTTGGAGCAACTCGTGCTTAGAGCAATGATGAACAACTCTTGTTGAGGCGACGCATGTTTAAACAGCTCGTTGAAGAGAAGTCGTGTTTGAACTGCCCTTGTTTAAACAACATTTATGCCGCTCCTGTGCAAGCAACTCGGTTTAAGCAGCTCTCGGTTCAACAGCTTTTGCCCAAGTGCAAACAACACGTAATTGAATAGTTCTTGTTCAAACATCTTGTTCGCAAAAGAGTCTGCTTTTTGAAGTCTCTTCGTGGAGCAATCGTTCCGACAGCCCTGGTTACGGCCATCCGGTTTGCAGCTCCGGTTTCAGCTGTGCTCAGTTTCTCGCGTCACACGCGTCACACGCGTCACGCGCGCACACGGCCCGTGACGTCTCAGGCGACGTGTCTCGAGTCCTTGGCCTTGGGCCGGGACTTCGCCAGCGAGCTGCGGCTGCCGGACACGCTGCGGAGCTTGGCGCTGGGCCGCGAGTTCAAAGACCTCGTGGATTTGCCGCGAGGTGGGGTCTAGCAATGGCCATCTTTTGGTGTTTGCAAATGGGTCTCGGTGCATTGCACCCATCCATGTGAGATTGAGATGCCTGGAGCATTTGGACAATACTTGTTTGAACAGCCAGCCTTTGCTAACGGGGAACCGAGGTTGTTTGAACAATAGTTGGGTGTTTGTTTTCTCGAAAGCGTTGCGAAGTGTTCTAGGTCAAAAAGGCTAGCTCTGCTGCACAGAGCTACTTTGCACAGTTCTGCGCTGCTCAGCCCTGCTCAGCTCCGCCTTGCCTCGCGCAGCCTCGCTTCTTCTCTTTCGCCCTTTTTGTTAAAAAAAAAAAAAAACGCTTTCGCCATCCGCAGGGTGCCCTTTTCAGAAAGCCTGACTTCGAAACACAAGTTTTGGGTCCTCCATTTTGACACTCACATATGTTGGGTGCCAACCCTGTCTCAAGGCCTCAAAAGCCTGAGCTTTGGGGAGAAGTTCAACCAGAGCTTGAGAGGCTTGCCTCTCAGCTTGCCGGAACTTCTGCACCTGAGCTTTGGAGACAGATTCAACCAGAGCCTGGATCAAGTGCTGCCAGAGGGTCTGACTACCTTGACCTTGGGCAAAGACTTCAATCAAAGTCTGCAAGGTGTGAGGTTTCCTGGAAGCCTTCAAGATCTGACCTTTGGGGACGAGTTCAATCAGCCCCTGCAAAGTGCCGAGTTGTCCAGCCTGCGCCACATATCTTTCGGACGATGCTTCAACCAGAGCCTTGAGCTTGTGAATCTTCCTAACCTTGAAAGTGTATCCTTTGGCCAAGGCTTCCACCAAAGTTTGGAAAGAGTGAATTTTCCGCAGCTGCAACGACTGGTTTTCAACCGCGAATATGAGCATAGCCTTGCGAATCTTCCTCGCTCATTACGCGTGCTAGATTATAGAGACCTGCAGGTGTCTGCCTAGCCAAAGGTGCTAGGCTAGCATGCCCAGGCCAATATGTGCCATGGCCAAACCACCATTTACATTGCTAGGGATGGTTATGGACCCTTAGTAGGGATTTTAGGCAACCAACGTAAAGATTCCCATTCAGGGAGGAGTCTTGACCATGGCTATTGCGTCGCTCTTGTAGCTGCCCGTCGCAGCTCGACACAAAACATGCTGGAAGCGGGGTGTAGATTCTGGTGTTCAAGGCATATTTGTTACGTGCACGTTGTCACAGGCAAAGATTCAAAGGTTTGCGACAGATAGCCTTTGCGTAAACACTTTCAAGGTATAGATTCTCCCACGCGGTGCCATGTTTGCTTTGAAAGAGTGCTTGGACTGGTTTGTGTAGGGCTGTCCTTCCTTCAGGCCATGACTTCGGACGTCATCCCTCTATGGATTCTACTGGTAATCACCCTCAAAATGATTGGTGGACAGAAATCCTCATGTGAGCCACGGTCACAACATGCTGCCTCTCCAGCGCACATAGGAATTAAAGGAGTCCCCTGGTTTTTGTGGGCAGCTAGCGAGCTTTCGTGTGTGTGTGTGTATCCTAAACTGACCTTCAAGCTGGATATTGACGTACGTCCACCAAAGGGTCCCTAGTTTCAATCAATTCCTTGCTGTGCCTGTGAAAGCTATTGCGCCTACTGTTATTATTCTGATAATTCTAATGCCTAGATTTGTGGTTGTATGGGCCATGATGCATCATTGTCACTGTCTTTTCTTCCGCTAAGCTGATGGTGATGGGTGTTGGGTTCCGGGCCAGGCTTCATTTCGTGAACGAGACCGATGAGGTGCAGCAGGTGGGCCTTACCCCGAACTTCCCCGCCAAGATCGTGCCGGTGGATTTGGCGAAGCTCTCTGGACCGGATTATTCGAAACGGCGAGTCGACGAGTCGACTCGTGGGTTTTGGGGATCTGAACCGACGCCGAAGCTTGGCACAGCTTGCCCCCGGAAAGGTTCTCAGAACCCAGACCCCTTCGATCAGAACCATCCCCCAGAATTGTTCTCAGGACGAGGACGGCCACAGACCAGAATCGTATTCAGCCGTCCAATCGGAACCATTGGAGGCCTCCTACTAGAATGGTGTTCACACCCTTCAGGGACCTCCTACCAGCATGGTTCTCAGAGCTTCGATCAAAGGCATAGAGCGAGCAGAAACCCCTACCACTTGAATTGACAACAAACGCCCATAGCAAACCATTCTGGCAAGGCCACTGATGGCTCTGGCGGATAGTTGAAAGGTGCTGCGAACCGTTAGTGGAGGCGTTCTGAGAACCTTGGTGGGGGTGTTTGAGGTTCTCTGTCATTCCGGCAGTAGCTTTTGATGGCTATGCTCGGAGGGTGCCTAGAAACATTTGCGGCGGCCTGATATTCCCGAGTGGGTTACTGATGGCTCCTGACAAAAGGGTTCTGAGTCAACACGCGCAACTCAATGCTGGCTGGAGCAAGCCGTAGGAATCTCCACGCAACTTTTGAAGGGACAGCGTGGTCTGTGACACTCCCCTCATCATACCGCAAAACACGGCTAACGAGCTTGTCGCACTCACACTCAGACAGCGCCAGTGCTGCGAGCCCTGAAAGAAGTGGGGAGTAAATGGGTGTGGGTCAGAATTAAGCCACCAGGGACCGCAGGTTTTAGTCTTCTTTCCCTTTACCAGGGCTCCATTTCGGCTACCTATTTTTGATCCAGACCCAAATGGCCACCAGCGGATTTGAGGCACTTTTGGGGTTGACAAGAGCTTGCCAAGAGAGCGCCAGCCGGCGAGTTGCTTCCAGCATGATGAGAAAGGCGCGAGAAAGGACATGGTGTGCTTGTTTGTTTTTGTTCAACATGTAATCCTGCCAGTGCCTCATCAAGGATTGCGGTTGACAAAGCGGACTTGGCTGACATGTCGAAGCTGTCTGCCACACAATGGCCAAACGGGAGCGGAGCATGTTCCGCTTGGAAAGCCGAGACAAGCACTACTTGTTGTCATGTTGGAGGATGAAGACGGACTTTTCGCACTTGGCAGGTGGTGGGAAGAAACACTTGGGGCTGTTTGTTTGTTGAGCCCTTGCGAAGTGAGGATGAAAGCGAAACTAAAGGGAAGCCAGCCATTCTGAAGACTCCATACCCCATGTTGGGGCAAATCCACTTGGACCTAAGGTATGATGGCATGGTGTTCAACCGCGGCGCCTTTCTGGCAGCCTTGGGCTCGGATTGGTCGGTGGACATCAAGCGTGTCCGCTCTATGGCAACGTGCTGCTGCGGGGGCCAAGGCACGTTGCGGTCGGAAAATTGGATTATTGTGTTGTGACACCTAACCTGTTTGCATTCCAGAAGCCAAAAAGGCAAAAGGGTGTCAAAAACAGGGCTCCGGCCAGCAGAAGCATGTGCCGCAAGGTCTTTTCATGAACACCTTGCACGGGAGCGGAACGGTTTTCCTCGCAGCTGGAGGCACTGTGATGAGGACGCCTACTGTGCTTGCCTCACCCTGATGAACATGGTTGTTTAAAATCTATCATAGAGGTGTCCCACTACACTTGACAGTTCGCTGATGTGGCTGACACTTGTGACTTATGCCCCCCGAACGAGGCTATTCACGTCGTGGACATGACGCGCCACAGTTTGAAATGTTAAGGCGAGTGATTCCCCTTCTCAGGGAATGCAGGATGCCAAAGCACCATATAGAAGACAATGGTAGCACAAGATGTTCAAGTGTTTAGAAGCTGTTTGCAGACGTGCCTGGCTTCAGGAAAGAACTTAAGGAGGGGGAGCAGCTGGTGGTGGAGCAGAACACTGTGCTTGCCTTTGAGCACACCGTCGACCTCGACATTCGCAAAACGGGCGGCTTCCTGGCATCTTGGCAAGGGCATCTCGCGTATTGGAAGGTTTGTGGGCCTGGAAAGCATGTAGGTGCCTCAAAAGGCGCCCGTCCGAAACATGGTCAACAAACTTGATTTTGGATAGGGGAAAACGCCCTGGACATGCGCGGCCCAGGTGTGCTGCTGTGGTGGCATGGGCACCACGGCTTGCAAGACGGCTTTAGCTGAGCTTCCCTGGCATTTTCTTGGGTTGCGAAGGGGCAAAAAGGCCATGACAGCCCCGGCGGCATTGTGAGCTCAGGTCTTTTCAACGCCGTGCTGACTGGGCCAGGCGGCTTGCCACGCAAGTCAGATATTGCTTGCATTTGCTTGTGGAGGTGGTTTTCATGTTCCACAGTGGGCTCCACTCCAATACGTGGTCACAAAAGGCAACGCGTCTGCCACGAACCAGCTTTGAATTGGGACACCAGGTAGGGTTCACAGTTGACGATGCCAAGACTGCAGGGACTTCCGAGCAAAAAAGTCACCTGCCCTGACCAGCTCAGACAAGCCTGTAAGCCTGGCGTAGGCACCATTTCAACCCTTTTGGGATGAGATTGCATGATGTCTTTGGCCGATTTCAGACTAGCATATGATGCCTCGCCAAATATCGTTTGGCAAGGCTTCGTGATGGTCCATTCCATGGGCCTCTCAAAGCTGCGCCGCAGCCTGGCGGTGGCAGGGGGTGGTGGCCAAAACGGAAGTGGCGGCGGTGGATCTGCGGCAGAGTGAGAGGAGGGGCTGGCTGGGTGCAGCTAGGCATGTTCGAGTGCCTGCCACTTGCAGTCATCATTTGTAAGGGGTGGGGACAAAGGCATGGCAAGCTAGGGGGTATTTTCTGCACCGCATCCTCGGCCCAGGTTAGGCCAGCCAAAGGTCAGATTTAGACGCCCTGTGTGACAGGAGCGCTGCTGGCTTTTGTGAGATGCTTTTGACTTTGCGGCATGCCTGCTCCCGTGACTCCCATGCACTCAGCTGGGCAGCCAGCGGCCCGTTCTTTACGAGGCTTCAGAAAGCACGCTGCAGTTTATCCACTTGGCGGCTGTAGGAGGCCCAGGCAGAAATGTACTATACGTGATTGATAGTGACCGTAAAGCCCAAAGTGAATTTCCGGTCAGGGTGCCGACCACTTGGCGCCAGCGGCAAGTGACACAGCATGTCGGCTCCATAGCATGCTGTTGCTTGACGAACGCTGCTAACGGCAAAATATGTAGAAGAGCGTCGGTCGCTTTTGGCATTGCAGAGAGTGCAAGACGTTCGCCTTGCACAGTAAGCAATTCATAGCCTGACTTGCGCTGCCTTGATGTCTCCAAGGCTGCACGCTCGCAGAGGATGGCTCAGGCACGCCTCCGCATCAGCCTTTCTTTTTGGAGCCCCAGTTCAGCCCACTTGAGATGCAACCTACATGGCTGGCATGTGCAGGTTGTTTGCAGTGTGTGGGGGATGTACATCCACGAGCAGTGAGGTGTCTAAATCAGACAATCATGCCCAATACCCCGAAGACGCTTGGCATGCTGGCGCCCTGAAGGGCCAAGTGTCCCTTTGGACGTCCCTAGGTGCTTTGACAGACTGCAGCGGCGTTGTTTTCCCAGTCATCGCCCAGATCGCCACACATCTGCAACTTCCAAGAAAACCCTCCTGCACGCAGGCTCAATATCCCCACTGCTGGCTGCCGTGCAGGCGTGGCCCACCCCCCAGCGTCCCTCACTTCAGTTGTGTGGTTCACCGGCCTGCATAGTAGCCTTTCAGTTGGGCATTTTGCAGCATATGGGGTACACATACTGCGAGAGCTTGACTTTGCATTCCATTCAGGGTATTAGATTCGAGCACGCCAAGGCTGCGTGTTTAGAGAGTTTATGTGTTGCTTCCACGCAGAAACAACGGCCAGAAGAGTTTATCTCCAGATGTTCATGTTTTTTCAAACTTCTGCAATTCCACAGCGGGTTTTGGAGATTTAGTGCGCGACTACGCAGCGGTGTCGGCAAACCAACTTTCCGCGCACCACAACAGCAGTCAGCACGTCCACTACACAGGCATTCGTTTTCGTCATTTACGCGCTTCCGGGAGGCATGCCAGGAGCACTGCTACCAGAGTCCCGGCATTGCATTAGCAGGGGATCAAATCTTAATTGACACGGCAGCTGCACAAAGAACGCCGCTTTGTCTCCAGCAATGGGTGTGTATGTGGGAGCCTGTGATGAGTGTAGCATTCCGACCATCGGTGTGTTAGGTTTCCTCCGCGAAAGGTTCACAACCGCATTGCGAAAGTATGCGAAAGTACGAAGTAGCTCTTTCTTTTGCGCAAACTCGTTGCGCAACTGTCTGCTTGTGCATAAGTCAGTGAAGCCGGCCCCTGTTTGTCAAATCCTTCTTCGATGGTAGCTGAATTAAACCGGCTGTTGGTTTTGCGGTTTTTCATTTTGGGGTTAAGGCCTGGTAAGCTTGCATTGTTGAATGTTTTGATACCTTGCTTGGTGGGGTAGTGTTCCATGACTGCCTTTGGTCCAGTACAGTATCTCTATGCTCTGAAGCATGTGATTCTTCGCGAATGTCACTTGAAACGTCCACGAAAGCCCACGCGAAAGCGCAGGCTCCAATGGCGTCGATTGTGGGGGAACAGCTGGTGCTGCGGGAGTGCATTGTGTACTAAGTTGATGCTGACAAGTTGCGACTTTGCAGCCGGAGCTGCGGAAGTGCATTTTGTGTACTGTACTGACTCTGTAGTGAAAAGCTGCGGCTTTCCAGCCGGAGCTGCGGAAGTGTTTTATGCCACTAACTTGGTGCTGAAAAGTTGCGACCCTTTGGCTCTAGCAATTTGCTTCATTCCTAAAAATGGCCGCTTCGAGAAAAAGGAAGCTAAAGCAGCGCCCATGTTTTTTCTATTTACTCAAGAACCCCTACCCCAAGGTCGACAAGGTCTAGGGCAGCCCATACTGATCCGGTTGTCTAGCAATAGAAAAGCAAAGAAACCTGGTCTCTCTCTCTCCCAGGGCTGGAGAGTGCCAGGATCAACAAGGGGGACTTTGCATTAGAAAATCACAGTGTCCGACTTTCGGGTGGGTTTTTGGGTTTTTGGAGGGCGCCAAAAAGGATTAGGGGTGGTGTTAGCCAAACCTTGTGTGCCCCTGAGCGAGGTGGAAAGGGACAGTCTTTATCGAGGCGTCGCTGGGAGACCCTAAGTTTTTACATATTTGCCTTGAAACCCGCGCTCTCTTTTGGGACCATTTGTGGGTACTGGGCACGTGGTCCAGGCTTAAGAGCCAACGGCTACAGAGCCCTTTTTTGACTTCAGCGCCACTTTGTTCTTTCAATGGATGTCCGGTTGGCCAAAAAGAATACGTCAGAGGGCTGGAGATCCCAGGATGAGCTGCGAGACGCACCGGCACGTCGAGTCCATGCTCGGACCGGAAGCCCAGGGAAACCAACGCGGAGCGACGATTTTAGGGTGAAGGGTGCTTGGCATATGTTGCTCGAGAATAGAAGTGTTAGACCTGTCTCACAGGATTCGCACTGTGACGCGCGAAGAGCAGAGTGAAGGAGTGGAACGGGTAGCAGAACGGCAAACTTGGATGCCCCGCCTGGCACCAATCGTCCAGTTGATTTAGCAGCAGTCGCTTCACCTTCGAGTGGGCAGCCTTTCCTTTGGGCGCAACAAGCCCGCAGGTGCAACGCAGTGCGACAGTACCTACCGCAATGCCCACACTCATCAAGCCTGGATTGAATGCTCAGACGCTGAGGTACGCCAGGGCCGGCAAGGCTGGCCAAGGGTTTGGCTGTTCAGGGGCGGGAACGGTTTGCTCGGAAAAGGAGCCAACATGCAGCAGGTATAATCATTCCGGCGTTGCAAGTCGGCCGGTCATAGCTGCTGTTGCCCGATAGCTCCTTTGGCAGGCAACTGCATCATTGTGTTCGTTGTTTGCGTGTTTGTGTTTTGGTTTATTGTTTAAAGTTTTGTTTGTGTGTTTGTTTGTTTCGTTTGGTTTGGTTTTGTTTTGTTTTTTGTTTTGTTTGTTTTCCTTTGTTTGTTTTTTGTTTGTTTGTTTGTTTGTTTGTTTGTTTGTTTGAGTGTGTGTGTTGCTTGTGTGTCTGCGTGTGTGTGTGTGTCTTTGTGTGCGTCAATCGTTCATTCGTTCGTTGGTGCCTGCGCGTGCGTCCGTGTGCGTGCGTGCGTGCGTGGGTGGGCGTGGGCGTGCGTGTTGGTCGGTTGGTCGGTTGGTCGGTTGGTCGGTCGGTTGGTGGGTTGGTGGGTTGGTAGGTTGGATTGGGTTGGGTTGGGTTGAGTTGGGTTGGGTTGGGTTGGGTTGGTTGGTTGGTTGGCAGTTATTATTCGTTTGAGTGTCTTTGTGTGTGTGCGTGCGCGTGTTAGCGTTTGTGCCTGTGCTTGTGCTTGTGACAGCTTTTAAAGCGGTACCCCGATGCGCGAGGCCGTGCAGTGCTGGGCGCTTTATAGATCGAGGCCGCGCAGTGGACGGTCCAGCATTGGCTGCGCACATGTTCCCATGCTTGGGGCCTGGGGGTTCCGAAACCAAACACCAGGAGTTCGGGGAAAGCGGGTTAGTGTAAGAACTCCTCGCAGGCTCTTGAGATGTGGCGAAAAGGCACCCGTAAGCATTCGCCAGGTTCCGAGCGTCGCCCTGCAGCTTGCTTCAAATTCGGCATGGTGCTGACACGGGCGTGAAGTCAAAGGGCTAAGAGCAGTCACAAACAGAATTAATTCCCTGCTTTCCTGAGCCAAAACATCGTGTCAGTGTGTTGGCGGCGTAAGTATGTTTTTCCCCGCACGGGTGCTTGTGTGAGTTTGCGTGGGGGTTTTCCTTTTTTGCGTGTGCGGGGTATGCGGGGTGTGCGTGCGTGCGGGGTGTGCGGGGTGTGCGGGGTGTGCGTGCGTGCGTGCGTGCGTGGGTGGGTGGGTGGCTGGGTGGCTGGGTGGCTGGGTGGCTGCGTGGCTGGGTGGCTGGGTGGCTGGGTGTGTGTGTGTGTGTGTTTGCGGGTGTGTGTGTGTGTGTGTGTGTGTGTGTGTGTGTGTTTGTGTGTGTGTGTGTGTGCTTGTGTGTGTGTGTGTGTTTGTGTGTGTGTGTGCTTGTGTGTGTGTGTGTGCGCGTGTGTGCGTGCGTGCGTGCGTGCGTGCGTGCGTGCGTGCGTGCGTGCGTGCGTGCGTGCGTGCGTGCGTGCGTGTGTGTGTGTGTGTGCGCGCGTGTGTGTGTGCGCGTGTGCGTGTGTGTGTGTGTGCGCGTGTGCGTGTGCGTGTGCGTGTCGTCGGTGCGTTTTGTGTGTTATGTTTTGTTGATGTGTGTGTGTGTGTGCGCGTGTGTTTTGCGTGTTTGTGTGTTGTATGCCGTGTTTTGTCATTTGTGTTGTGTGCGTGTGTGTTTTGCATGCTCGTGTGTTGTGTTTTGTGTTTGTTTTTGAATGTGTGTTTGTGTCTGCGTTTGTGTTTGTCTGCCTGCCTTGCCTGCCTGCCTGCCTTGCCTTGCCTTGCCCTGCCTTGCCTTGCCTTGCCTTGCCCTGCCTGCCTGCCTGCGTGCCTGCCTGCCTGCCTGCTTGCCTGTGCCTGCCTGCCTGCCTGCCTGCCTGCCTGCCTGCCTGCCTGCCTGCCTGCCTGCCTGCCTGCTCTGCCTGCTCTGCCTGCTCTGCCTGCTCTGCCTGCTCTGCCTGCTCTGCCTGTTCTGCCTGCTCTGCCTTGCCTGCCTTGCCTGCCTTCTGCCTTGCCTGCCCTGCCTGCCCTGCCTGCCCTGCCCTGCCCTGCCCTGCCCTGCCCTGCCCTGCCTGCCTGCCTGCCTGCCTGCCTGCCTGCCTGCCTGCAAACGGCTTGGAAGCAGGTCGGCTCTTGTCGGGCAGTGTGAACGATTTTTTGTGCAGGTGCTAGGTAGAATTGCTCTTGTGAGGTCGCAGCACGGCCACCTGGCAGGCAAGTTGCGGCGCCAGCATCTAGGCAACCATGCCATTCCGGTGTATGCCTGGCGTCGGTGGGGTTTCCTAGCAATAGAAAAAACAAAAGGCACAAGACGTGCGAAATGATCAATAGTTCAATGGAGATGGCATGGGTCATCATCACTCTTAGGAAGGGGGTTGGGGTCACAATGAGTACTGACCATGGCTCATGTCCTTCTGCAGGCCCTTCCACCCGGGTCTTCGGGTGAGGCCATGCCTGGCAGTTGCTACGGGCTTGGCCGAGTGTGAGGAAGAAGCCTCCAGCACTCTTGCGCCGGGAAGCAACCTTGCCACTTCGATTCGTCTCAAGCAGCATGCCCCCCACACAAAAAGAGGCGTGTCAGTGTGCCTCTCAAACGACCCTGGCAATTATATGCTTTCCGCTGACATTTCTTCGCAGGCAGCCTCATCCTCCACTGGCCTTCACCTGGCAGAGCACGCTCAAGCCGCAGCCAGGCTCTTACCAAATGTCAAGGTGCAAAGAGCTGTGAGTGCAGAATGGGCAACGCTGCACTGACTGCCCCCCCAGTGTTTGCCCACGCCAGGCGTTTCAGTGAAAGTTCTGACATGTTTAGCAGGCCACTTGAAATTGAGCTGTGCAAGCGAAGTGCGGGGCGTGCGCACGAGCCGATATTGCAAGTGGGGCGCTTGCCGATCTGAGGCACACATGTGCTGAGGCCCCGCATTATCGCCGCAAGGGCAGAGAAAGAAATGTTCGGCTTACTTGCTGACGCACGGGCATGGACCCCAAAAGATGGTACATTTATAGACGTAAGACTGTCACTGCAACCACATGGACCCGTGCCGTATGATTTGACGTTTCCTTTTCCGCTCGGTTTTGCTTGTTTGGTCGGCTTGCCTGTTTGGTTTGGTACCGTCCAAGCGCTCCAGGCGCAGGCAAGGATACCGTCAGCTCCGCACGGCACCTCAGCATCTCCAAGCGGCGTTTTTCCCCGCCCAGCCCGAATTTTCCCCAGCAAACGTAGCGAACACCGAACAGGGTCGGCACTTGCGTTCCCGAGGGTTGTCACATGCCGAATTTGGGCAGGAGGGATCCATTTTGCAGATTGCAGCATGGTGCCTTCCGAACGTCGTTGGAGGTTTTAATCTCTAGCTGTGGGCCGCTCTTCGCTATTCCTTTCTCCCCGTTTGATCGTTTGATTCTCAGCTTGATATCTGTTTGCTCGTCTCTCCCCGTCTCTCCCACGCTTTTTTTGCTTCTCTTTTGCATCTATCATGTCTTCCAACTGCTGCCAGCCTTCTCACTGCTCCTTCGCTCCAAACTCTTGCTTCGTTGTTCATCCGGCTCTTCCTGTTTGGGAGGCAAATCAATTTGTCATAATTTGTCCGTGGCTCATGAAACAAAGCTTTGGCTCCTTGGCTCTGCCTCGCCAGCTTTCGAAGGTATACTGGCCGGCCTCGACCAGCTTGGGAACCGCCTGGCATGTTTTCCCCGATTGCCCAAGATGTCCGTTTGGCACCCAGGCCATACAGATGTTCAGAGAAAAGCCTGGCTCGCTGATAGCAACCTTCCCACCATGGAAGTTCACAGACCCCTTTTTGGAAGACTTGGAAACCTTCCTTTTGAAGGGTCTCTGTGCACTTCCATGTTGGTGGAAGTGTAATGTGGCCATTGAAGCCGCAGTTTGTGAACCTGGGATGTTGTGTTGAATACCTCAAGTCTTCCCAGCTCATGGCCAGGCGAAGGCGCAGGCAGAAATCCGGCAACCGGATGCCGCGACGACCAGAGGACATTGAGAGCCGAGCAAATGACATTAGGAGAAGAAGAGCAGTATGCGGATGGCACAAGGCAAACATTGCTGGGATGGTTTGGGCGTTACCTAGGCCAGAAGCGATGCAGCAGTCCAGGCCAAGCCAGCAGGGGTAGTTGTTGAGGCCGGGCACCTGGTAGATATCACTGAAGAAGCCGTACACCGGCACTTGGCAAGACGTTTCAGGGCAATGAATGAATGTCCCCTTCCGCTGCTGGCAGTCGTAGCACGTAAATAGGCCAGCTTGCGCGTTGACTGATTCTGTCGTGAATCTGTGAACTGTTTGTGCACCGCCGCAAGCGGTTTTTGGCATGACGCTGGCAAAGCGCCCGAGGTGGGGGTTGAGCGCTGACCAAGTACCAAGCGAGAATCCATTGCGGCTAGTCGCCAAGGCCAGAAGCGATGCAGCAGTCCAGGCTAAAGAGGCTCGGTGCCCGGAAGTGTTCACTCGGTTCTTGGCTTGGCACTGGCCGTCTTTTGAACCAGCAGCCTTTCACAAAAGCGCATTGGAGGTGCATTCGGGACGGTGTCGGCTTAGGACAGAAGCGACGCAGCCCAAGTTGAACCAGCGTGGCGAGATGGCCTGGCACGGCACCTGGCAGTTTTCATGGATAAAAGTTGAAATCAGCGCACGGAGGCAATGGGTGCTCGACAAGTGGATTTCACAGATTTAGAAGTGCCTCACTCTGAAGCATTTGCCTGGCTGTGGTCAGCACTTGCTATTGCGGGGTGCATCTAAGCAAGCCCTGAACATTGCCAAGGCCACAAGTGACGTAGCAGTCCAGGCAGGTGTGGATTCACAAAGTAGTCCCTGGCATTTGGGAAGCAAGGGCTGCTGTACTGAAACGGTTCGGCGCATTCTCAGAGTTGGACATCGCGGGTAGGGGGGGGGGGGGGTTGGGTCACGAGCGCCCACCTGTTTGTATGGACCACATGCACCATGTTGCAAAACACCTGCTTTTGCTGCACGCAGGCACCGGACCCATGCCCAACACAGTGTGGCGTTTCCTGGCACGTCCCTCGTGCTGCCTGGCTGGCATATTTGGACCTCTTGCAGGCACCTTGCAGACGCGGAGGATTGATGAATGAGATCAAGATGCATTCATATTTTGAGCACTTGTCTTTCTGGATCGAAGCTGTGCGGCGCCACCTTCTGTAGTTAGACGTTGCACTTTTAGCACTGCTATTCTGTTTCCGCAACCGTGCTGTCCCGTTGCTCGGTGAGAAGGTTCCGAATGATGTTTTCGTTCTCCCGTCACAACCAATGTTCTGCGTATGTGTAGTTTTGCTGGAGTGGTGCCGGACAATCTTGGAGCATCGCCCAGGGCGCTAGCGATTTGGGATATACATGCCGTTTGTGTTGCAAGCTTTGCAGCCGCCGTTTAATACCTTGAACAAATGCTGCCGTTTCATTCATGTTGAAGATAACATTGTCCAAGGGTGTGTTCAAAAGCGGGCCTGAGACCCAGAATGAAATGAGCGACCGACGAAGAAACCAACAAATGACAGAGCATGTGTTGATACGGCCGGGTACCGTGGAACAGTCGAGATGTTAATGTAAAACGAGACGGCCCCCCCCAAAATTAGCGAGATCAAAGCGAGATAGTTTTGTACAGGTTATGTAGAAAACCATGCAGGACGAGACGGAAGGAGATTGAGACATAGTGAAGGAGGATTGCGGAGGATTCAGTAAGAGCACCTCAAAGCTTTCTTCTGCGACCGTGCTGTCCCGTTCTTTGGCCACTTCATTCCGAATGACACTTCCGCGATTTGCAGCTGCCTCCCGTCAGAACCAACGTTTCGTGCACGAGTAGCAGCATTGCCCAGGCCAGAAGTGATGCAGCAGCCCAGGCTCCAGCATGGCAAGCTGAGGCGGAGCCCGTATTTTTCGCTTGGCGTGCATTTGTTGGAGCCGTTTGCTTTCCAACTCCGTGCTTTTGCTGTGCGCAGGCGCCCTCATCAGCGTCACGCTTTCCTCAGCGTGGTGTGTCCTGGGGCGCCCCTCATGCTACCTGGCTGCATTGAACGGGCCTAAGGCGTGGGTTACGCACGCACGCACGCGTGCGCAGTCCCATGCGCACGCGCGCACGCCCCACGCACACGCACACGCACACGTGCCGCAGGTTGTTTCGCAGGTTGCGGCATGTTGCGGCCTTTGTGCTGGAGCTCCCGAAAACGGAGCTGGCGCACTGCGCTTGCACTCAAGGTTGCAACATACGACCCAGCAGGCTATCGTGTGCTTGCCTGGCTTTCAACGAACCCTCTTTGTGTGATACTCTTGTGTAAAGAAGCTATCTCAAAATTGATGGTTTGGGGACCCTTCAAAAGGAAAAGGGAATTCCTAATGTTGGCCCGGATTTGTTTGCCCGTTTTTTGTCTGATTTTTTTTGGCAGGTTGTCCGGCAAAAACACTTCCACAATAGAGGACCCCAAAACAGTTAGAAAAAAGAACACCTGACACAATAGCGGCCCGTATCATTAAAGCGGGTGTAGAATTATAAGGGGGCTAGGGGGCTTCCTCAAAGTGGAAGGTATACAACACAGACAACAAATATTGACTTGGCTCATGCGGACATCTTGCAGAGAGCACATGTCCTGCTGGTTTGCGGCTCTGCGGTACTACACTTCGGTAAATTAGCGATCTGGTGCTTCGATTCTTTAGGCGGTTTTGCTTCTGCAAGCACACTGTCCCGTTGTTTGGCCAGAAGACTCAGGATGACGTTCCGAGGTTCGCAGTTCCCCCCCCCCTGTCAGAGCCAATGTTGACCGTATGTCTACTTTTGTCGGATTGGTGCCGGAGACATTTGGAGCACTGCGCAGGCCAGAAGCGATGCATCAGTTCAGGCTACACCTGCATGCCAAACTGAGGCGACGCCCCGCAGTTTGCACGCATGCAGTGTTTTTGCTGGCATTTGAAGCGCACGGCATGCAAGGACCGACGTGACTTCAGGCTTTTGCCACTGTTGGCGCATCGGTTTGTTGGAGCCATGTGTTTGTCCAGTTCCTTTCTTTTTGCTGCACGCAGGCATCCTCGCTAGGGTCATGCTTCACTCAGCGTGGTGTGTCCTGGGGCGGTCCGCGTGCTGCCTGGTTGCATTGAGTGGTCATGAGCTGCGGAGATCACATGAGATCCTGTGCTCCTCGGTTGAGCGTGCTGCATATTTACCAAATGTCGATAGAGAGCAGCAGCGCAACAAGAGACAAGCACAAACCTGGCATTGCGGTGTGGGTGTTGTCGAGGCCGGAAGAGATGCGTCAATCCAGGCAGGGGCGGCATGTCAAGAGGACGAAGCTTGCCATCAGAAAACGAGAGCATCCTGCTTGTGCCATCTTGCACGCGCAGGCCACACCGCGGTCTCTGTCATCCTCACCTGAACCGCGCTGTCGGCGCGACGCTTCCTGGAGTCCTTCTTATGCCAGGTGGCTGCATTACAGCCAGTGGAGTGTCGCTGACGGCTGTAGCAGATCCTGAGGTTCCCGCCAGTACGTATCCCTGACACGACAGGACCCATTCAGGTCAATTTTGGTTCACCCTTTTGTGGCTGGCATGGCACGTTCAGGTTTAGACGACTGTCATGAGCTTAAAATGGCTGGCCTTGGTGCAAATTGAGCGGCCACTTCGCGCGTTGCAGAAGCCGTGTGCAACATGCTTTGCTTCCCGTAGAGGAAAGCGCGCATCCTTGCTGTGTTTTCGTTTGACAGGCAGCAGCATGCAGCTCAAGATTCATTCGAGCCTTGCACCGCGAAGCATCAATTTGCTGACACGGCAACCAACATTGCGCAAGATTTCGCAGCTACGATGAGACCGCTCAATGTTTTGGGGCGCAAGGATCAATAGAGGATGGTTTAGGAGGCTATATAATGTCTCGGTGGAGCCAGGTCGAGATGTTTAGGCAATTGTACGTTGACCCTGCGTGAGCCAGCACCCGTGCAAAGAACATGCTTGGGCATCTTGGGCATTGCCTAGGCCAGCTACACCACAGCGACCCAGACGAAGCCAGCATGGCAAGATGAAGCGGGGGGCTTGTCAGTCCTCCATCCCAGAATCGGTTTTCGACAGTACAGTGGGTGCACACTGGGGCACCTGAAAAACGGCCCGACCGAGCTGCCAATAGAACGCAGGAAGGTGAAGCAGGAAGCTTGTGCGATTCTGCGCGCGCAGGCCACGCCGTGGGCTGTGGCATCCTCGCCTGAGCCACGCTGCCGGCGCGATGCTCCCTGGAGTCCTTCTCATGCCAGCTGGCTGCATCACAGCCAGTGGAGTGTCGCTGACGGCTGTAGCAGATCCTGAGGCTCCCGCCAGTATCCCTGACACGACAGGACCCATTCAGGTCAATTTTGGTTCGCACTTTTGTGGCTGGCATGGCACGTTCAGGTTTAGACGACTGTCATGAGCTTAAAATGGCTGGCCTTGGTGCAAATTGAGCGGCCACTTCGCGCGTTGCAGAAGCCGTGTGCAACATGCTTTGCTTCCCGTAGAGGAAAGCGCGCATCCTTGCTGTGTTTTCGTTTGACAGGCAGCAGCATGCAGCTCAAGATTCGAGCCTCGCACTGGGAAGCAGTAATTTGCTGGCACAGCAACCAACATGGCGCAAGATTTCGCAGCTACGATGAGACCGCTTAATGTTTCGGGGTGCAAGGATCAATAGAGCATGATACGTGGTTGAGACATGTTTCAACATTGGTTTGCCCTGGCAGTACACACACACACACGGATTGACAGACTGCGGTGCTTCGGACCACCGCAGAATGTCGACCCCAGAATGATCAACCTGGCGGATTGAGGTTTTTCCTCCAAAAGCATAGGCCCGCTATATAATGTCTCGGTGGAGCCAGGTCGAGATGTTTAGGCAATTGTACGTTGACCCTGCGTGAGCCAGCACCCGTGCAAAGAACATGCTTGGGCATCTTGGGCATTGCCTAGGCCAGCTACACCACAGCGACCCAGACGAAGCCAGCATGGCAAGATGAGGCGGGGCGCTTGTCAGTCCTCCATCCCAGAATTGGTTTACCTGAACACGGCCCGACCGAGAGTTGCCAATAGAACGCAAGAAGGTAAAGCAGGAAGCTTGTGCGATTCTGCGCGCGCAGGCCACGCCGTGGGCTGTGGCATCCTCGCCTGAGCCACGCTGGCGGCGCGATGCTCCCTGGAGTCCTTCTCATGCCAGCTGGCCGCATTGGCTGAACCAAATGCACCGCTGGAGCGGCTCGCTCAAAGTTTGCAGGGTTCAGCTGAGCAGAGCCAGGGCAAAAGAAGCAATTACAAATTGTCAAGCAGGTCTCGTTTTGTTGTGTCTGCTTCTTGGTTTCAGAACTTGCTATGCGATGGCCAGCACTTGTAATGCCACATGCCAAGACTCACGACATGATTTGGTGCCTCTGTCGAAGGCTGCGGCATCCACTGAGGCGCGGCCACGGACTCGTTTGGGTTCAGCCTGATCGAAAAGCTTGCAGAGGTGTTGCATTGAGTGCTTCCCTCATTTTCGGCAACGCCCCCATAAAGGCCAGGTAGCCCCGTGCTAATTTTCAGGAGAAACCCTCTTTCCTAATGCCTTGCCCAAGTTATTCTTAGCCCAGACAACCTGGCGCAGGCATGCTCAAAGCAAGCTGAGGATGCATTGAGCAGGATGGGGCAGGCGGGAATGCAAGATCGGGACAACTCGTCACCAGGGAAAGGGGGACCCCACTTGGAAGCGGAACCACGCTGGCACACTGATGTACCCTGTTAATAAACTTGTTCTGCCCCAACCCTGTTTGCAGCCGGAATGCCCAGGCTTTGGCTCGTGCTCGCACGTTCGCAAGCAAGCAGCGCCTTGGCAAGTCAACGCGTCAGGCGTCGTGTCCAAGACCCGAAGCATATGATCATGCACTCGCACTTGTGGCGCTCGCGTCAGGCCATCAGGGTCCATGCCTTGCGGTCCAACATCGCCCTTTGCGCCGATGGCATCTCAGTCTCCGCCTGCCGCGCCACCGCCAGCTCCGCCACCACCACCACAACCACCACCACCACCACTACCTCCACCACCTCCACCACCTCCAGCACTGCGGGAAATGTCTTTGGAAGGGGCTGAGCATGAGATGGACAGGTTGCCACTCGACAGATTCGACATTCAACTACGAAAGTTCCAGTTGCTTTGATATATGTTGGAATCCTTTGATAGCACTTGGGCCCCACCTTTCGCTCCTGTGCTCTTTTGTGCCGAATGGCCTAGGCTGGCAGCGAAACCTCAAGGGATTCGAGAGCCAGCTGCGCCACAAACGTCTGAGCAGAGGAGAGCATCTTTGCAGACGGAGATGAGGCAGCTGATCCTTGGAAGGGTTCAGTGGGGCAGGGACGGGCAGCACTTGGCTTTCCAGTTATATAAAGCAGGGCGGCTAACAGTCAAACTTCAATGAGCCAGGGTAAGGAGCATAGTGCTGCATGAGCTTTGTGCGGGGTCAGGAGCGATGTGCCTGTGACCTACGCGGAGCTATTGGCTGCACGGCGCTGGATGGTCCCCCAGCCTGAGCAGGAATGTGCAACGCACAGGCATGGCGGGGCTTGTTTGAAGTTCCTGGAGCAACGCCAACACAACACCACGCACATTGCAACTCAGCACTGCAGAACCAACAGCAAAGCTGAATTTCAGGCACTCCTTGGTTTTTGACCAATTTGGCAATTTGGTCCTGTTGGGGACAGTTCCAAGCAGTGTGCCCCACAATTCGTCTGAATGGCAATGCCTTTTGCTCCAGGCCAGAGGCAAAGCCGCCTGCTCCTAGCGGCCCTGCTCCTGTCCGGCGCTGGCGGCGACGTGACACATTGATCACCTCGCCATCCCCGTCAGGTGACGCCCACCCCAAGGGTCCGTGCCATCAGTCCCTTGGGGCAGATCAGAAGGCCAGTGCTTCATCTGAGCCTCCATTGACTCAAGAGGGCGACAGCTCGGCGGACGCCTCACAGCCGCAAGGAGAAAGAGGCGAGGTTGAAATTCAAAACGAGGACACCGACTGCCACGAAATGGACTTGTCGGAGTTTGAGCAGAAGCGATTACAGATTGTGATCCAGAGGGAGCAGGATTTGTCGCCAGCCCGGGAGCTCTCAGATGGGCATGAAGCAGATATTGCTAGCGGTGCCATTGAGAAGATGCTGCCAAAGGGGCAGAATGCCTTCTGCCCAACCAGCGAAGCTGAGACGGTGGCCCCTGAGCAGCCCACAAGCCAAGAAAATCTGGAGGACCTACCACCGGACGAAGCCCAGGGTGAAAGCCCTCCAGCAGAGGCGGTCCCCGGCGGAGCTTTGCCACACAGCAATCAAAAATGGGAAGGGCATGCCTGGCAGTCTGCATGCATGTTGCTGTTTTTTCTGGGTTGCTCAAAATCAGGCCTTACTGCCAGGCGGTAGTGGTTTCCCTTCCAGTGTTCCTCGGATTGCGGAGGATTTGGGATCCATAGGTCCAATAACCCCATTTTGGGCAGCCCAATTTATGCGATCCAAGCAGCTGCCTCAGAGCGGCGCCAGGCTGAGCTGACCTTTGAGGCGCTTTTTTCGTGTGCCATTGCCGCAGCCACAATCCGGGTAATCGGGTAGGGTTGGGGGGACGGTCCAAAATAAATATGCGAGTGCCGTCCTTGTCAATCTTTACATGGCTTAGGTGGACTGCTCGACCAGATAGAAGTCGTCATTCGGATGCGAAGGGGGGGGTGACCTTTTTGTCTTGGTGTTGCCCTCCGCGAAAGCTTCGCGATTGAGGTTGCGAACGTTGATTTGTTGTCCCAGCAAGTTTTGCGTAAGGGTGATTTGCTAAAGGAAGATGGAATTATGAACCATACACACATGCACAAAGATCGCATTTCCGGGAAAAAGGAGGTTCAGACCCCTTGTGCAGACAACCGTCATACGTCTGCAGCCCCATGCCTGGAGGCTGGGCAAGAAGGCACGGTGAGCGGCTGCGACCAATCGGAGGCCCGGGCCTCGGTTGAGCTTGAGCGGCATGGCCAGTCCCTCAATAAAGGACGCTCGCAGCGACATAGTCCGTGACAGGTTCCGGAGCCTGCTTCTCAGGAGGACTCGGGTTCCTAGCGCGGCGCATGTCTCGTTTTGTGCTTGCGACAACAAAGCCCTGGCTTCACCAGCTTGATCAGCGCACCAAAATGCCGAGCCATTTCACATTGCTTTTGGCTTTGCACCTGCCTTGTTTGTGCTAATTACATGGTTTCCATTGGGATTGCAGATGATTGCAGTGGCCTGTATCGGGGCTTGTGCTTGACAACCAAGAGGGTGGAGCCGTCATTTGGAGGCCCTATGTTTTGATACATGCCCACATCAGCAATGTAGTCACATAGCACCGAACTTTGGGTTTCGATAGCCCGGTGCGCAGGACCTTCCCGTGTCCGAAATCCTGAGCATTTTTGCGGGTCGTGTGAGCGATGAAGACTGAGGATGTGTTGCGGGCTCCGTTTGAGTAGCGCCCAAACCATTGACCATTTTGATAGGTGACCTTACCACCTGGCTTGATGAGGTCTGTAGTAAACCTACGTAAATCTTTTTAACTCGTTTGGCCGAACCAAAAAGTCACTGGGTTTGGACGCTGCTGATTTGGGTATGTGTCAAATACGGCGACCCCCGAAAATAGCTGGTGTCCTTTTGGTTTCCTTCAAACCACCCTGAAACGGGTACCCTCAAAGAATAAGAAGTGATTTTGTGCTTGCTCCCGCAGCAATGTTAAATCTGTTGGCACGTGTTTGGGCTGAGCTCATGTTCAGAACAGACGCAAGCAAACCCACAACAAGCAGAAGCAATTGTGCCAACCAGCGGCTGCGTTCGGCATGTGCTCATGCCTATGCCCAAAGAGGCTGGCAGGGGAGATTGCAAGAAGCAAGCTCTGAACCCTGCAAAACGTTTATGTGGCCGTGCCCGTTGTTAAATTGACGCCCAGCGCGCGGCAAAGGAGCAGGCGAGCTGATCGCAAGAAGCTGTCATTGCTTGGCGGGTTGCCAACACTCCGTTCTCGAGGGCCAGCGTGCTCTCCACATGCAAGCCTACTGGACAACGATGTTGGCACATCAAGGTACCAGGCAGTGATTAGAATCCCTATTGTTCCAGGATTGTAAACCGTCCAGCCACAACTTCAAGATTGCCATTCCGGCCCCATCACGCAACCGCATTAAGCCTTCAGCGCGCATGATGAAGGCTAAGCCAACAGTTATGACGCGCATCAATATTGATTTATCAGCATCATACTGCTCATTTGAGCCCGTTTTCTTCCAGGTACCCTTTTGCAGTTGGTTCAAAGCGAAACCGAAAGGGAAGCAGCATTTTCTTTGGGGGGGGAATTTTGAGACACACCCATTTGCACGAGTGTGCGAAGGATTTAGGCTCCAGGTGTGCAGCCAATGCAGCAGGTGGCCAGCGGGCCGCAGCCAAAGGAATGCCTAAGCTTAAATCGCTGGGTTCGGTTGGTGCCCTGCACCGTGGATGGACCAAATCCACGCTAGG